CACGTCTAAAAAGATTAAAAAAAATAACTAGTCGTTACAAAGTGGTAACTTAAAAGAAAAACTTTCAATAAGTAAAGAAGCTTATTTAAACAATTTTAAAATATAATTTCGGATAATAAACAGTAGGATTCTGGTCACTGAATTCTTAGAACATCGATAGAGACAAATTGCATGATTTTGTAGATGTGGAATTAATGTATATGGCTTAATCATTACCATGACCAGTCGCATGAGTATCACGTGAAGAAAATATTTCATGATCCAGATATTTAGGATCACATTCATTTGTTTAAGATTGTTCATAGTAAATTACCATGAGTTTTTTTTCAATTAGATAAATAACTCTGTATTTATTCTAATCAGGTAAACATTTTCAAAATAGGTTTACTTGTGCGAGATTACAATTATACACTCAATTTGAATTTTTTTCTTTTGTTGTAGCTAATTTACCTTTAATTTTTAAAAATATGAATATATTTAAAATATTTTAAAGTTGTATATATATAAATAAACTAAACAGAGAAAATATCAAACAGAAAGAAACAAAAACCAATTTCCCTCCTCCGGCGAGAAAAAAAAAAACAACACTTGAAACGAAATCGGAAAAAAAGCTCTCCGGCGATGGAGAGTTTCGCTCTCCGTTCTCTCTCAACCTCCGTTTCTCCATCATCACCCTCTTACCTCTCTCTCCGTCGCTCTTCTCCCAAACCATTCTCTCTTCTTCCACCGTCGATTTCCCTTCACTCATCCCCAACCGTTGGATCACTCTCCATCTTCTCCCCTCGATTCACTCCACGCGCCACCGCCTCTTCCTCGCCGCAGAACCAAAACAAACCTCAATCCTTATCTTCTACTTCGCCGTCGCAGCCGCAACCGCAACCGCAAGGAGCGAAGCTGATTCCTCTCGCGATCTCCGTCTCAATCGGTCTAATCGTCAGATTCATAATCCCTAAACCGGAACCAGTAACCTCACAAGGATGGCAATTACTCTCAATCTTCATCTTCACCATCTCAGGTCTTGTCCTTGGTCCACTCCCTGTCGGTGCTTGGGCTTTTGTCGGCTTAACCGCTTCAATCGTAACGCAAACGCTTTCTTTCTCATCCGCTTTCGCCGCTTTCACCAACGAGCTCATTTGGTTAATCGCGATTTCATTCTTCTTCGCTCGTGGGTTCATCAAAACGGGTCTTGGCGATAGAATCGCTACTTATTTCGTGAAATGGCTTGGGAAAAGCACTCTTGGTTTATCTTATGGTCTTGCCTTCTGCGAAACGCTTATGGGTTTGATTATGCCGTCTACAATGGCTAGAGCCGGTGGCGTTTTCTTGCCGGTGATCAAATCTCTCTCTCTCTCCGCCGGAAGTAAACCCGATGACCCATCTTCCAGAAAGTTAGGTGCTTTTCTGATCCAATCCCAATTACAGGTAAGGACTCAAAATCAAGATTCTGTCTTTAGATGATCAGTAACTTCTTGGATTCATAACATCAACTTTGTAATGGTTTATGGATTTATGTTATTTTGTGAACAGTGTTCAGGTAGTTCTGGTGCGCTACTTCTTACATCAGCTGGACAAAACTTGTTATGTCTCAAACTAGCGAGGGAAGTTGGAGTTGTACTCTCGAATCCATGGATCTCTTGGTTTAAAGCGGCGAGTGTTCCTGCGTTTGTTTCTCTTCTTTTAACACCTCTCATTGTCTACAAGCTTTACCCTCCTGAGCTGAAACACACACCAGAGGCTCCTGCTGCAGCTGCAAAGAAGCTGGAACGGTTAGGTCCCATCACGAAAAACGAATGGGTCATGCTCGGCGCAATGGCCTTGACCGTCTCTCTTTGGGTTTTTGGGTAAGAAGATTCTTGCAATTTCTGAATAAAGCATAGTGATACATCGCATAAAAGTACATTGAACTCACTAAAAAGTATCCACAGATTCAAAATGACCATTGGCATTAACCATGTTGAGAATTTAACTGACTTTTACCGCATTTTTCCCCGCCAAAAAACTATTATAGTGAACCGTCATGATTTGAAAACCAGAAAACCTGTTTTTCAATAATTATGATAGATCAAACGTTTCATCCAATTTTTATGGTCACTCCGCGCAGGGAGGCAATAGGAATAGCTAGTGTTGTATCCGCGATGATCGGTCTATCGACGCTTCTGCTGTTAGGAGTAGTAAACTGGAACGACTGTCTAAACGAGAAATCAGCGTGGGACTCGCTCACTTGGTTTGCGGTTTTGATTGGTATGGCTGGACAGCTAACAAACCTCGGGGTCGTAGCTTGGATGTCAGATTGTGTAGCGAAACTGCTCCAATCTCTCTCACTGACTTGGCCCGCTTCATTCGTCATCCTCCAGGCTTCTTATCTCTTCATTCATTATCTATTCGCAAGCCAAACCGCTCACGCAGGAGCTCTCTATCCCGCGTTCTTGGCGATGCATATCGCTGCAGGAGTCCCGGGGGTTTTAGCAGCGCTTTGCTTGACTTTCAATAACAATCTTTCTGGTGCATTGGCACATTATACTGGTGGACCAGCTGCTTTATACTTTGGAGGTTTGTTTCTTTCTCTTTTATCTTATTGTTTTTCATATGCTTGGTTATCGAATTACTATTCAACAAGATTTACAATTTTTCTTACATCTTATTTTTATGTCTGAGTGCGCAGCTGGATATGTAGAACTGAGAGATATGTTTAGAGTCGGGTTCGTCGTGGCTATTTTACAATCGATCATCTGGGGAGTTGTTGGATCTTTCTGGTGGAAATTCTTGGGTCTCTACTGAAAAAATAAGTTGGTTTAAAGAATTTTATACAACTTCCAAAGCAGTTACAGAATTGATCTGAGTTTAAATTCCATCCAATTTCGTTCACATTTATTATAAATCGTATAAAACAAAACTCAAACCAACTTCCGAATGCCCAAGGCCAAAGATTATGTTTATTTCGAGAGTTGCCAGCTTTTACGTTAACATTTCCTCAACCTGCAAGCTAAAACGCACAACGACATGAATCCATAAGTCAATAAAAACACCAAATCGTAAACACAAGTTTTGTAATTTGCATTCAAACTTATCACAAGTCTCGGGGGAGATTTATTTCGAGCATAGAAGCTTTCATATACGTTAATTCCTGAACCTGTAATGCATGACAATGGCATTAATCTTTAAAAGTCAATAAAGACGCCAAAACGTGAACATAATAGGTTTTTCTAATTTGCAGAAAAAAGAAAAGAAGCGTTTCTGCGTTCAGAGTTTTATACAAAGCAAACCTTTGCAACAAAGCCGATTACTAAACAAAACAGGAGACTAAGGTATAAAGAGTACGGTCTTTCTTATCTTCTTCCTTCACACAAACATGGTTAGCTCTGGTCGGCTATAAACATTGTTCTGCTCATCCTCAAGGACGGGGTAAGCGGCAACAAGCGTGTCCTGAGCACCAATGTATAGCGAATTGTATATCTTCCAGTACACTTCACGGACTTTGCGAGCCGGATGAAACAAACCCTGCAAACAATAGTTCAGAATAACGGCTGCACCTAATGCGACTCTCATCCCTTCAATGGCTTCCATCACAGCGTTAATTACGTGAGGAGATGTTTCGAAAATGTTGGGCCAGATATAGTTAAGCAAGTGAACCAACGCGTCTTCGCATCCCAAACCAGCTACACCTAAAGCCATATGCTTCACGGCAGAGGCGGCGGTTTGTCTGTGAACCAAATCTCTGTCCATGAGCGCATCTTCAAGCAAAGGTGTGACTGCGTATATGTAATCTTTGCCCATCTCTCCTATGTACTCGAAGAGGAAAGAGAGAGATTTCAGTACACCATTTTGGACGTTGAGCTCTGGAACACGGTACTCGTTCATCAAAGCAGGCAAGACGGTGAAGGGAGAGCATGTTTCTGCAACTATAGCAATCGCAACTGTGGTACAAACACGGTTCTGACGTTCTTGGACTTTGAGATTGTTCAGCAACGTGGCTAGAACGTCTTGTGGTCCAATGGCTTTGGCAATGTACCCAAAAGTGTTGACAGTTGCACGGCGAATACCTTTCTTATGAGCTTTGAGCATTTCAAGAAGCTCAAAACAGATTCTCATCCATTCTCTAGCTGGAACAAACTCGGCACCACGATCAGCAATCCTACCGACAAGATCAATACAATTCTCCTGCACTTTCTCGTGTCTGTTCTTCAAAATCGGGGTCAGTCTTGGAAGCAGATCCTTAATAGGAGGAGTCATCTTTGTCATACCAATCACGTTGACAATAGCTTTTAAAGCTCCAAGAATCGATCCCAAGACTTCTGGGTACTCTTCTCCAAGATATTCATACAAGACAACACCGAGATGTCCCATCAACTGTTCCTCTCCACATTGCTTCATCACAACAGCAATTCTAGAAATAAGATCAGCGGCTTGTTGTCTTACCTTTGCACTCTTGTTGTTTAATCGCCACTTAATGGTACCACAGATCTGAGGAAGGTAAGGCTTTACTCGCTGACCAAGAGCATTCACTACAGCACCAAATCCATTAAGCATCACATTAGCATCGTCACTAGTCTGTTCTTGGAAAGCATAAAGAATGCCATCTATGAGAAGTTCCTCCAATCTCGGTTCAATATCAGATGCTCCTAAATTTGTGACAACCTTGTCGATGGTTTCCATAACCATACGTCGGTATTGTTCACTCTCATCTTTAAGATCTTCAACAACTCTCCCCACAATATCGGCAACACCAACCTTGTTCGCAATCTCCACAGTAGTTTCAACAAGCTGCTTATAGTTTCTTCTCTCTAGAGCCATTCTCCTATCCCAGAAACGCTTGAAAAACTCAGGCAGAATATCACTGCGAATGTATTCAGCTTCAACACCCTCTGTACAAACACACTGTTTCACCACCTTGAGGACAATCTTCTTCATCTCTTCATCGGGCGACTGGAACTCACGAATCAAGATAACCATCACTTCTTTTGTATAGTAGCTCGCATATATAGAATCCATCAAGGGAATGATAAAACCAATCGCCTTCAAGAACGCAGCCAAAACTTTACCTCGGTGAGACCTAATACCTTTCCACAAAGGCTTCAGAACAGAATCGAAGCTCTCAATACCATAAGGAGCAGCAGCTTCGGCAAGAGCAGCCAGTGACAAGGCCGTAATAGTCCTAACCTTCTGATTTTCATCACTGAGACCATGCTGGATAATCTCTACTAGAGACTTTAAGTGAGGCAGGACAGCACAGCCAATTAGTATGGCAATCTGCTGAACAATCTTAATTCCAGTGTGTCGTGCCTGCCATGACTTCTTACTCTGGCACACAGCTTTCAGGAACGGCAAGAGTGCAGGGATTCCAAGAGCTGAAGCCACCACACTGAAAGCTCTTGCTGTTGTGTTCCTCACATATTCATCGATGTTGTCAATATCAGGACGCATAGCTGCAATCATAGTGGCTAAACCAGCTGCTTTGCTAAGGTTAGAAATAATCTCTCTACCTTCTACACGAGCATAGTAATCTTCATCAATCAACAAAGGCTCAATAACAACAAGAATTTTGTGGACAAAAGGCCTTACCAGCTCATCAAGTTTGTACAGAATTCTATCAATCACTTTCACCAAAAGATGCCTCTCTTGATCTTCCAAAGTGGGTTGCATGAGCAATGGCAAAATTTTGTTAAACAAAGGACCAGCACCAAGCTCACGAGCCTTATCAGTGAGCTGCCTCAGAGCTGTTTTCCTCTGTGCAGGCGTTCCATTTTTCACCTTCAACAACAGTTTCATTATCTTCCGTTCTTTCTGCTCATCAGGAGACAGCTCTTCTTCGTTCTCTTCATTCAACAACGCTCCGAAGTACTGATAATCCTCTGGTTTCATAAACGGCAACCCACCAGGAACTTCAGGGGGAACATCATACTGCTGCCCACGGTTTTCCTCGGGAATAACGTAGCCAGGGGTTGCCATAGGTGTCGGGGTTGCAGTAGCTTTTCTCGCGGGGGTTCTGATGGGAACATAAGTAGCAGGAGGTTCCAAGACTTTGTATCCCTCTTGAGGAAACATTGCATCAAGCTCTTCATCACTCAATGGTCTGTTTCTCTCTTCAATATCCCTCTCCCACCTTTGCATATTGTACTGCTCAGGCGTCATAACACCACGCAGATTGAGCTGACCCGGAGTTGGAGTAGCCATATCAATCCCACCGACTGGTGTGACACCAGGAGTGTAAGCTATACCAGGAGTCATTCCAGCCATAGGTGTAGCACTTCCCATAGTGGCTGGTGTCTCGTCCCACCTTGACCGTTGACGCTTTGGGGTAGGCGTTGCAAGCCCTTTTGGAGTGGCGTCCCAACTAACACCTGAAGGAGTTGCACCGGGAGTAACACCACCACCTGGTGTTGCATCAGAATCAGTCACACGACCAGGTGTAGGAGTTTCGTCCCACCTGTTCCTTCTTCCAACAGATGGTGTGGCATCAGAAACTCTCCCTGGAGTTGCATCCCATCTCCCAATCCCTGGAGCTGCATCAGGTAAATCCCAATCCGAAGTCGCTGCTTTAGCTTTCTTTGCAGCGGCGGCGCCACCACCGTCTTCTTCAGAGAGGTCCCATCTGTTTCTCCTCTTGGAAGAAGCAGGAGGAAGAGCAGCAGAATCTTTCTTTCCCTTTGAAGCTTCTTCTTCCTCTTTCTTTTTCTTAGCAATAAGCCTCATAGTCTCCTCTCTCTCCCTCTGCAAAGCCGTCTCCCTCATAGCATCATTGTAAGTCCGAACACTCGGATCCGGCGTCTTATCGCCCATAGCAAAGGCATCGACTCTATCCGGAGACAAAACTCGATTGAGTCTTCTGTTCCTATAATCACCCTCGCGTTCCGCAATAGTCTGCCTAGGTTTAAATCCCCCATCGTCTTCTTCGCTGTGAGCACGAGCCACGTCGTTGAGAATAGACTTAGGAGCAGTGTAAGACGCAAGACGATGAGCCACAAGCGAACCAGTGGTATCCAGATTCGGATCCTCCTCATCGTTTGGTGCGATAGAAGTCAGATAGGAATCACGGTCGTTATCTCCGTACAGATCGCGATCGAAATTCAGAGAAGTAAGAGCTGCTTCCATCTTCTTTCTATCCTCTTGAGTTTTAGCTATCTCTGGATCTAGATCCGCCATTATCGATACTCAACGAAGCTTTCTCCAACAAACAAACAAAGAAAAGGAACTGAGGAATTCGAAAGAACAGATAATCAGAAAACAAATCGAAAAGAGAATACAAAATCAGAGACGAAGATTGGAAGAAACTTACCGATTATCGGAACTCGCCTGCGAATGAATGTGGGGAAGTAGAACGCGATCGAAAAAAAAGAGAACTAGGGTTTATCCAGAAAGAGGCACAAAGAAAATAAAATAATTAATAAATAGAAGGATGAAGTGATTGAAACCGACCAATCGAGCGAGTCGGTTCTTAAGTTCGGGCCAGATTTTAATTTGGGCTAATAGAGTTTTTATCTAAGTAAGCCCAAAACGCCCAATAAAAACCCAACTACGTCCGCTTGCTGCACTGACCACAAAAAGTGTTGTATTTTTCTCTTTATTTTGCTCAAACTGAAATTGGATGATGGGTTGGTGAACAAATTCTTTAATGGAGTATGAATTTGTGAAAAAAACCGATATTTTTTTCCCACGCTATATATATTGTCAACAAAAGTTTTTAAAGGTATAAGAACTTTTGGAGTCTGTAACTACAAAGAAAATTTCCATTTCGTTTCAATGAGTTTTCTTTAACAAAATATAATAATTGTACTAGTGACAAAGTTTTCTGTTCCGTAAGAATATGGAAACTTTTATTTTTATACAATACCTTCGTGAAATAATTTTTATTTCCACTAATCAATACACACCTATGTTTTGGTTTAAAAACCTATAAGGCTATAACAAAAGTGTCTCTCTCTATTTAACGTTATCCTCAATAGCTTACTTTTAAAACTACTTGTGTAGCCGAAAGTCCGGATCCACGACAACTTAATCAAGTTTAGTATACTATAGTATTGATACAGAAATTACATATAATATTTATCATTTATGTATTGTAAATTATACTCCCTCTGTTTCATATTATAAGTTGTTTTGGCTAAAAACGTGCATATTAAGACAATTTTAACTTTTTACATTCTCTATATAAAAAAGTAACTTTTTGTCTCTTTATTTAATAAAAGAAAACAATAATGATTTAAAAGTTTTAATTTTTTAACTAAAAGTTTTAGTTTTTTCAATGGGATTTTAAAACTACTTATAATTTGAAACAAGAAAAAACCTTCAAAACCTTATGAAATGGAGGGAGTATATCATTATTGAGACAAGTATATATATGGAATATAATCTTGATAAGCCATTAAGCCATTTTAATACTTAAACGTTCCAAAGTTTCATTTGGCATAACGAACGGAAGCAATGGAGAACTTCACCAAACCCACTGACCAGTTTCAAAGAATACTG